CGGGTAGCACCGCCCCTGCCCGCGGGCACCGCTTGGCCGTCGCCAGCCACCCGAGTTTGGGGACAGCGGAGGAGCTGGGCCTCCTCCGACGGAGCCACTGCGCGCTCCTTTCCATTCTGGCTTCGCACCTGAACGGACGCCCCCCTGCTGCGCCCCCGTGAGGCACCACAGCAACAGGGATTAAACGCGGGCCGGCAGACTGGACGCGTCGGCGCCCACCTCCCTCTCCTCGCCAGGATGCTCCCTTGCCTGGCTGGATCCCGGGCCAGGAATGGGGTACCCGGGACCCCAGGCGCCCTTGCCACTGGTCCCACGGAGTCCAAAGTGTAGCCCTTATCACAGGCAGCTGGCCGGGCCTGGCTTCTGGGAGGAAGGCTGACCTGGACTTTGTCCTGCTGCACAGGGGCCGACTGCAGGCTGCGCCCTGACCCAGTCCTTTCCCTTCCCTAGGCCGGGGTGGACAGCGGAGGCCCCAGGGGCCCCTCTTCATCTCACTCTGCCCTTCCCAGGGCCTAGCTGCACCCAAGCAGCCGCCGCTGGGCGAAGACATGGCTGGGTATTGTGGGCCAGGGCCACCCACCGTTTTGTGCCCCCAGAAGTGGTCAGAAGCTCGGATGGTCAGAGGCTGGGCCCTGCGGGCCCCTCCTGCTCACGGCAGCGCATGGCCCCTTCCAGGCGTGGAGCGTCTGACACCTGGGAATCGGATCTCGCTGGGTTGCCATGGTAAAGGGTCTCCATACTCCTCTCCCATCGAGGATATATATATATATATATATATAGAGAGAGAGAGAGAGAGAGAGAGAGAGAGAGAGAGAGAGAGAGAGAGAGAGAGAGAGAGAGAGAGAGAGAGAGAGAGAGAGAGAGAGAGAGAGAGAGAGGAGGGACCTTCTGTAGGGGGACCAGAGTTGTGAGAAGAGAGAGTTAATGAGGCGGGAGGTGGTGATTATGGACAGAGATAAATGACACCTCAGAGACGGTGCCCAGGGCCCTTGGCCTCCCCTCCATCTCTGAGAGGAATGGAAAGTGAGAGGGAACCCGGGAGGTTCACGCAGTCTGGACTTTCAGTTCTTGGGGTGAACTGGAGGGGAAGCTGGCCGTGCACCAGGGCTTTATCCTCCCCTTCCCGGGGGGTGCAATCCCTCCACCCACTGGTGCCCCAGGGCCTGTTCAGCCCTTCAGCCAGGAGAGGAGAGAATCCAGGGAAAGCGAGTCTGGGAGCCAGAGGTGTGGCCACAGCGAATGGCCTGGGAGGCAGGGCTGCCTGCTGCTCGGCTCCCCTCTGGCCCAGTCAGGCTGTCCCTGTCATTCCTGCCTTTTCCATGGCCTCCCTGTTTGGGATAGAGAAGCTTCCTGTGGCAGGTGGGGGACACAGCTCCAGGGGCGTGGAGCCCCGGTTAATGGTGGGGCTGTCGGGCTGGAGACCTGAGCACTGGCGGGCTGGAGGTCGCCTGTCCTCTGCCTGGGGTGGGCCACTGGACCTTGCCTTTCTTCCTGCTCACCCGAGCTCCCTTCCCTCCCCATCTGGAGGCCAGCGCCCCTGGGCCAGTGCACACGCCCTCATCCAGCCCCACCCCACCTGCAGCGGGTAACGGGGTGCCCAGGTGGGGATCCAGCTGCGGGCCACTTCTGGGTTGACAGGGGGCTCCCGGAGCCTGGGCCCGGCCCAGCCATACCTCCTGGGGCGAGTGGGGTCCTCTGAGTTCATGGGATGCTGGAAGGCTCAGGAGGTAGCCACGTGGCTGTGTCTCCCATCGGCGTGGGGGAGATGCTGGGACTTGAGCCGCAGGCGCCAGGTCAGATGAGGCAGATAGACACCGGGAGACCTCCTTTCCTCTCCCTCCTCCTCCTCCCTGCTCCCTCGGCCCAGTCCCCCAGGCCAGGTCCTGGAGTCTGGAGATAAGGGAGAGTCCCGTGGGGGCGTGGGGGCGGACCGCAGGCAGCGCATTGATATACAAGGCACAGGTGGCCCACCCGGAGCTGCGGAGATATTCTGGAGGAGGTGGAAGGCCTCTTGGAGGAGGGAACTTTGTACTGGGCCGACAGGGGTGAGTAGAAGTCCGTGGAGCAGAGGAGGGAAGGGCCTTTTTATTTATTTATTTATTTAAAATTTTTTTCTCGTTGAGTTTAGTGGTACATTTTAGGCACACGGTACAGCTACATTCATCATTGGGATCTTGACCTTTACACGACAGGTCTTGGTTCTCATTCTTTCGGGCAGGGCTTCTTTAGAGGAGAGAACAGCATGAGCAAAGTCACCACAGTGCAGAGCAAATGCGCATGTGCTTCTGTGTGTATTAAATTTTCTTTGTCTTTTGTTTGTGTGTATGTGTGTGTGGTTTGAACCCAGGGCTTTTCCACTGAGCTACAACCTCAGACTTTTTTTTGGTCCTGGGGATCAAACTCAGGACCTTGCACTTGTGAGGCAGGCGTGGCACCACTGAGCTAAACCCCAGCCCTGACTTTTTTTTTTTTTTTTTTTTTTTTTTTTTGAGATAGGGTCTAAATTGCTAAGTTGCCCAGACTGGGTTTGATTTGTTATTCTCCTGCCTCAGCCTCCCAGAGTGTGGGGTTACAGGAACATGCCCTGTGCCCGGATGGGAGCATATGTATCGGGGAACTGGAGCCGGCGCAGTAGCCCTGGCCAGTGGCCCCAGTGTCTGGGAGGGGAGGCGGAGGGACACTGTCCTGAGCCCAGGGCTGTGGACCGGTCTGGATAGTGTAACAAGACTTGGGGAAACAGCCTGAGCGGGCAGGCTCCCAGGAGCTCTGCGCCTGCCCTGACGCTGCCATGGTCGCTGGGTGATCACTGAGGGCCTTCAGGGCGTCCACATCCTGTTTAAAAAAAGAAAAGAAAAGAAAAGAAAGAAAGTTACCTAATAAAAGCTGGACATGGTGGTGGCAGACTCCGATAATCCCAGCACTCAGGGGCTGAGACAGGAGGATCACTAGAGTTTAGGAATTTGAGATTGGCTGGGGCAATATAGTGTGAATCCATCGCAAATAACAAACAATTTGAAAGAAGAAAAATTGGAGGGTCACACAAAAAGGTATTAACAACTACGTTTTCCTTTAACTGATACACAAAAAAGATTATTGTTGAGTTCATGATTTCCAGCCCCCTAACAGTGGTAACTGATGAGGGCGGGCAGTAGGACGAACCCTAAACGTGGCTGATGGACAGCAGGCTGAGGCCGGTCCCAGCATGGAGAGAAGATGATTTTTCATAGCCAATAATTTGGGAGGTGGCAGTTGATGATTCTCTTTTGTCGGTCCGAATAAGTGCTTACTAAATATAAAACACAGCGTTCCTTTTTTTTAAAGACAGTAAATGTGAAACTCCCACTTCCTCCTCCTCGAAGTCGTGCACATGTGGGGGTGGGGGTCAGGCGCGCGTTCACAGTGGGCAGGGGAAGTGCGCTCTGCCGGATCACCCACAGGTCTAAGGTGCTGTCTTCTTTGCTCGCTCTACATGAGTTCGGCACCCCTCATCTCTTAGACGGAATCACTGCTGGCACTAATCATGAGTTGGAGTTTTGGAGACAAGGTCACTTCATGTAACTCCAACTGGCCTTGAATTTGCAGTGACCCTCCTGCCTCAGCCTCTGGGTGCTGGGATGACAAGCACGCGCCACCACGCCCAGCTGAAAGAAATGGTTACATTAGCCTCTTCCAAACAACAACAAAAACCAGTCTGTAATTTGCTCCTTTCCACTATCTTAAACACAAATTAAAAGTTCAAGTAGACAGAAA